TTAGAATCAACTAACTCATTAGTCTACAATAAAAAAAAACTAAGAAATTTTTTACTACCATGAGAGAAAATGAAAACAAAACTCAAGATACAAGAACAAAGGTGATCAAAATCATAAATATTACATTTGATCAACGGCTATGCCTGTAGCTGGTTTTATTTGTATTCGAATCCATAATGTTCGCATCTAACCCAATCCATCTCGAATCTCGAATATAATGAGCCGCCACCAATTTTCCAGTTTCAAATTATCAGTTTGACATTATCATGTGCATCCAATTCCATGTCCTTAAAAATAGCTATAACAGATAATGGTAGAAGCAATAAAAAGGTAACTCACTTTTTAGTTATTTTTATCTCAATCTGTAACAGTAATAATTGCTAAATATCCCATTACTGTTGAAATCTTAATAAAAATCATACTTAGCATCTTAATATGGCAAGGTTTCTCTAATATGTTTGGTTGCATTGATACGACATCCAATCCCATTAATGTATCTCAATTTTAATGAAATACAGCTCGTGTTCATTTATTAGTTTTCTAGTTCTACTAGGAAAAAAACTACAGATGTTTTGTTGCATGCCATTTAAGTTTTCTCCTCATACCCATGGAACAAATTAATCGCAATGAAGTTAACCATCACAAGCATTATAAACCAAGTAAACTAGAATAACTAATCGTCTTTATTATGACATTTTAGTACCTAAAATTTTCAAAATTTACATTTTGGTCCAAGCCTTGGATGTCATATGGTTTCATGGATCAATCCACCAATCTATTTGATCCAATCCATGAATCCACCAATCCATTGGAGCCAATCCATTTGATACATGGATCCACCAATCAAATCCACGAATCCGATCCAATTGCCACCTCTAGCTATACCTATGTACCCATCTTTCATATTTGTTGTATCATTACTCGGGCTCATGCACAGGTTGAGCTTAAGAATCATGCAGAGAGAGATGTATCACCCAAGAAAGAATGGACATAAAAAATTCTCACTTGCCTTCCTAGATGCTTGGACTCTCATACAAGTTCTCCGGTCAATAACGCTAAACAATCGGAGACGGTGATTGACTACTATGATTGCGCCATTCATGTACCAATGTCAATAGAAAACGCAATAACAAAATTGAAACTAAAAAGTTGCCACTATAACCACGAAAGTCTTTTAGTTTTTTTATTCAACATTCACAGGTTACACATTCATGGAAAACAATATGTGTTCATAAATCACACCCATAAACACTTCAAATGGAAATGAGAGTTAAGATAGGAATGAGTTATCGATAGAGCAGTAAATTGATAAGTATGAAGAGTGGAGTTTTGTATGATTTCTCGTGGAAAATGCTAGAACAAAAAGAGTAACAAGAAGTAAAATGATACAGTGAGAGTACATATCAAGTTCATTAGAATCAACCTAACTCATTAGTCTACAATAAAAAAAAACTAAGAAATTTTTTACTACCATGAGAGAAAATGAAAACAAAACTCAAGATACAAGAACAAAGGTGATCAAAAGCATAAATATTACATTTGATCAACGGCTATGCCCGCAGCTGGTTTTATTTGTATTCGAATCCATAATGTTTGCATCTAACCCAATCCATCTCGAATCTCGAACATAATGACCCGCCACCTATTTTCCAGTTTCAAATTATCAGTTTGACAGTATCCTGTGCATCCAATTCCATGTCCTTAAAAATAGCTATAACAGATAATGGTCGAAGCAATAAAAAAGGTAACTCACTTTTTAGTTATTTTTCGTGCCATTGTATGATATCTCAATCTGTAACAGTAATAATGGCTAAATATCCCATAACTGTTGAAATCTTAATAAAAATCATACTTAGCATCTTAATATGGCAAGGACGTTCTTGAGTTGCTCTAATATGTTTGGTTGCATTGATACGACATCCAATCCCATTAATGTATCTCAATTTTAATGAAATACAACTCGTGTTCATTTATTAGTTTTCTAGTTCTACTAGGAAAAAAACTACAGATGTTTTGTTGCATGCCATTTAAGTTTTCTCCTCATATCGAACAAATTAATCGCAATGAAGTTAACCATCACAAGCAATATAAACCAAGCAAACTAGAATAACTAATCGTCTTTATTTTGAAAATTAACATGATCCCTATAAATTGATTACCATCATAATGGTGGAGTCACATCTTCCAAACGAGTAACTAAGAGACACAATTATATCCCATCAATAGACTTTCCAGTCTCTTTTGATCCGGCAAATACAAAAGAAAATCTGATAAATGGGCTCTCCTAGTTCATCATCGGTCATTATCACATGTATACTCTTCTCAACCTTAGTTATCCTAAATCTTCCATATCAAATACAAGCTAGAAAGCTATCACCATTACTAACAAACCCTCCAGTAAAAATATTTCATGATTATGACGAGAGGAGCAGCATTCTTGACCGAGCAAAAGAATATGGAAGTACTTTCCATTCCTTGGCTAAAGATGACATCAATGTGGACTGCCTTGTTCCTGAAATCCGTACTTGGGAACATGATTTTTATGCCATTGGGAATGCAGCAATGTTGGGGGCATTTGGATCGATGTATATGTAAATTTGTATATTACTTGTGTCAATTGCATGTTGTCACCCAAGATCTATATGCAAGTAAAATGAATTGATTTAGCATGAAAGTTGTGTTCGAAATTTAGAGAAGAGATCTAAGATCTATTTTTGTAAAGCACGAGAATTTTTTAATTTTGAAAAAGTATAAAGAAGTATAAGAACTTCATTGCCGAAAATTCTAATTGTACTCAGGTACATTAAGTTCAAAATATAATTATATATATGAAGAGAATAATATGTTTTTTTAGTTTCCAACAATCACAATTTTAAACCTCCCGATTACATTAGAATCCGACTTGTTCATTGTATGGTGAAAACTAAAGATGATGATATTCATCGAAGAGAATGATTCACTTTACCATCCCGCTATTCAGTTTTATTATTTAGTGTCTTTGCATCCTTTTTTTGTTTGTTCTTTTTTTTAGGTAACACATTAGCGTTTTAAGTTAATAGATCAACAATTAAATACAACCAAGTGGTGTGCATGAATGAAAAACTTAAAAGGAATGAGAAAATAAAAGTGTTTGTTTTATCAAAACAAGCTAGTAGATAGCTCTCTACTTTTACAATATACTTTTTCCCAGTTTCTTTTTAAACAAAATTATAATAAATAAAATCACAGTTTGCAATTTTAAGCATGTCGCTTTTCAATACAAAGTTGCTTCCTAACTCAATTTTTATTTTAAAAGCATAATACTATGGTAGAACAATAAATCACGTGGAACTTTGAAAAGGATTCAAAATAGGATTCAAGGAATAGAAATTGGTTTATAATAAGGTGTAATCTAAAAAGGAGGTTAGGTTCAACGGCGTTTGACGAATGGATATAATGATAACCTGATAAAAGTGGTCTTCTATGCCATAGGCTATACCTATGTCCCCATCTTTCATATTTGTTGTGTCACCACTCGGGCTCATGCACAGGTTGAGCATAAGAATCATGCAGAGAGAGATGTATCACCCAAAAAAAAATGGACATGAAAAAATCTCACTTGGCTTCCTAGATGCTTGGACTGTCATACAAGTTCTCCGGTCAATAACTCTACACAATCGGAGACGGTGATTGACTACTATGATTGCGCCATTCATGTATCAATGTCAATAGAAAACGCAATTCCAAAATTGAAACTAACAAGTTGCCACTATAATCACGAAAGTCTTTTAGTTTTTTTTTCAACATTCACAGGTTACACATTCATGGAAAACAATATGTATTCATAAATCACACCCATAAACACTTCAAATGGAAATGAGAGTTAAGATAGGAATGAGTTATCGATAGAGCAGTAAATTGATAAGTATGAAGAGTGGAGTTTCGTATGATTTCTCGTGGAAAATGCTAGAACAAAAAGAATAACAAGAAGTAAAATGATACAGTGAGAGTACATATCAAGTTCATTAGAATAAACCTAACTCATTAGTCTACAATAAGCAAAAAACTAAGAAATTTTTTACTACCACGAGAGAAAATGAAAACAAAACTCAAGATACAAGAAAAAGGTGATCAAAATCATAAATATTACATTTGATCAACGGCTATGCCCGTAGCTGGTTTTAGTTGTATTCGAATCCATAATGTTTGCATCTAACCCAATCCATCTCGAATCTCGAACATAATGACCCGCCACCTATTTTCCAATTTCAAATTATCAGTTTGACATTATCATGTGCATCCAATTCCATGTCCTTAAAAATAGCTATAACAAAATTGGTAGAAGCAATAAAAAAGGTAACTCACTTTTTAGTTATTTTTATCTGAATATGTAACAGTAATAATGGCTAAATATCCCATAACTGTTGAAATCTTAATAAAAATCATACTTAGCATCTTAATATGGCAAGGACGTTCTTGAGTTGCTCTAATATGTTTGGTTGTATTGATACGACATCCAATCCCATTAATGTATCTCAATTTTAATGAAATACAACTCGTGTTCATTTATTAGTTTTCTAGTTCTACTAGGAAAAAAACTACAGATGTTTTGTTGCATGCCATTTAAGTTTTCTCCTCATACCCATGGAACAAATTAATCGCAATGAAGTTAACCATCACAAGCATTATAAACCAAGTAAACTAGAATAACTAATCGTCTTTATTTTGAAAATTAACATGATCCCTATAAATTGATTACCATCATAATGGTGGAGTCACATCTTCCAAACGAGTAACTAAGAGACACAATTATATCCCATCAATAGACTTTCCAGTCTTTTTTGATCCGGCAAATACAAAAGAAAATCTGATAAATGGGCTCTCCTAGTTCATCATCGGTCATTATCACATGTATACTCTTCTCAACCTTAGTTATCCTGAATCTTCCATATCAAATACAAGCTAGAAAGCTATCACCATTACTAACAAACCCTCCAGTAAAAATATTTCATGAAAATGACGAGAGGAGCAACATTCTTGACCGAGCAAAAGAATATGGAAGTACTTTCCATTCCTTGGCTAAAGATGACATCAATGTGGACAGCATAGTTCCTGAAATCCGTACTTGGGAACATGATTTTTATGCCATTGGAAATGCAGCAATGTTGGGGGCATTTGGATCGATGTATATGTAAATTTGTATATTACTTGTGTCAATTGCATGTTGTCACCTAAGATCTATATGCAAGTAAAATGAATTGATTTAGCATGAAAGTTGTGTTCGAAATTTAGAGAAGAGACCTAAGATCCATTTTTGTAAAGCACGAGAATTTTTTTATTTTGAAAAAGTATAAAGAAGTATAAGAACTTCATTGCCGAAAATTCTAATTGTACTCAGGTACATTAAGTTCAAAATATAATTATATATATGAAGAGAATAATATGTTTTTTTAGTTTCCAACAATCACAATTTTAACCCTCCCGATTACATTAGAATCCGACTTGTTCATTGTATGGTGAAAACTAAAGATGATGATATTCATCGAAGAGAATGATTCACTTTACCATCCCGCTATTCAGTTTTATTATTTAGTGTCTTTGCATCCTTTTTTTGTTTGTTCTATTTTTTAGGTAACACATTAGCGTTTTAAGTTAATAGATCAACAATTAAATACAACCAAGTGGCGTGCATGAATGAAAAACTTAAAAGGAATGAGAAAATAAAAGTGTTTGTTTTATCAAAACAAGCTAGTAGATAGCTCTCTACTTTTACAATATACTTTTTCCCAGTTTCTTTTTAAACAAAATTATAATAAATAAAATCACAGTTTGCAATTTTAAGCATGTCGCTTTTCAATACAAAGTTCCTTCCTAACTCAATTTTTATTTTAAAAGCAGAATACTATGGTAGAACAATAAATCACGTGGAACTTTGAAAAGGATTCAAAATAGGATTCAAGGAATAGAAATTGGCTTATAATAAGGTGTAATCTAAGAAGGAGGTTATGTTCAACGGCGTTTGACGAATGGATATAATGATAACCTGATAAAAGTGGTCTTTTATGCCATAGGCTATACGAAGAGGTGGCAATTAGGATCCAAATCCATGAATCTAATCCAATCCATCCACCAAATTATCCACCTAATCCAATCCATTTAAATCCAATCCATTTGATCCAAATTCAATTAGATTGGTGGATTCATGGATCAATCCATGGATCCAAATGACATATTACAAATTGGTACCTATATTTTTTATATTTTATATTTTGGTACCTAAAATTTTATTTTATACAAAAATATCATTGGAAAATTACATTTTGGTACCTAAAATTTTCCATTATGACAATTTAGTACCTAAAATTTTCAAAATTTACATTTTGGTCCAAGCCTTGGATGTCATTTGGTTTCATGGATCAATCCACCAATCCACCTATCCATTGGAGCCAATCCATTTGATCTATGGATCCACCAATCAAATCCACGAATCCGATCCAATTGCTACCTCTAGCTATACCTATGTACCCATCTTTCATATTTGTTGTATCATTACTCGGGCTCATGCACAGGTTGAGCTTAAGAATCATGGAGAGAGAGATTTATCACCCAAGAAAGAATGGACATAAAAATTCTCACTTGGCTTCCTAGATGCTTGGACTCTCATACAAGTTCTCCGGTCAATAACGCTAAACAACGGAGACGGTGATTGACTAATATGATTGCGCCATTCATGTATCAATGTCAATAGATAACGCAATTCCAAAATTAAACTAAAAAGTTGCCACTATAATCACGAAAGTCTTTTATTTTTTTTCTCAACATTCACAGGTTACACATTCATGGAAAACAATATGTCTTCATAAATCACACCCATAAACACTTCAAATGGAAATGAGAGTTAAGATAGGAATGAGTTACCGATAGAGCAGTAAATGGATAAGTATAAAGAGTGGAGTTTCGTATGATTTCTCGTGGAAAATGCTAGAACGAAAGGAGTAACAAGAACTAAAATGATAGAGTGAGTGTACATATCAAGTTCATTAGAATCAACCTAACTCATTAGTCTACAATATAAATAACTAAGAATTTTTTTACTACCATGAGAGAAAATGAAAACAAAACTCAAGATACAAGAACAAAGGTAATCAAAAGCATAAATATTACATTTAATCAACGGCTATGCCCGTAGCTGATTTTATTTGTATTCGAATCCATAATGTTTGCATCTAACCCAATCCATCTCGAATCTCGAACATAATGACCCGCCACCTATTTTCCAGTTTCAAATTATCAGTTTGACAGTATCCTGTGCATCCAATTCCATGTCCTTAAAAATAGCTATAACAGATAATGGTAGAAGCAATAAAAAGGTACCTCACTTTTTAGTTATTTTTCGTGCCATTGTATGATATCTCAATCTGTAACAGTAATAATAGCTAAATATCCCATAACTGTTGAAATCTTAATAAAAATCATACTTAGCATCTTAATATGGTAATGACGTTCTTGAGTTGCTCTAATATCTATAGGTTGCATTGATACTACATCCAATCCCATTAATATATCTCAATTTTAATGAAATACAACTCGTGTTTATTTATTCGTTTTCCAGTACTACTAGGAAAAAAATTACAGATGTTTTGTTGCATGCCATTTAAGTTTTCTGCTCATACCCATGGAACAAATTAATTGCAATGAAGTTAACCATCAAAAGCATTATAAACCTAGTAAACTTGAATAACTAATCGTCTTTATTTTGAAAATAACATGATCCCTATAAATTGATTACCATCATAATGGTGGAGTCACATCTCCCAAACGAGTAACTAAGAGACACAATTATAACCCATCAATAGACTTTCCAGTCTCTTTTGATCCGGCAAATACAAAAGAAAATCTGATAAATGGGCTCTCCTAGTTCATCATCGGTCATTATCACATGTATACTCTTCTCAACCTTAGTTATCCTGAATCTTCCATATCAAATACAAGCTAGAAAGCTATCACCATTACTAACAAACCCTCCAGTAAAAATGTTTCAATGAATATGACGAGAGGAGCAGCATTCTTGACCGAGCAAAAGAATATAGAAGTATTTCCCATTCCTTGGCTAAAGATGACATCAATGTCGACTGCATTGTTCCTGAAATCCGTACTTGGGAACTGATTTTTATGCCGTTGGGAATGCAGCAATGTTGGGGGCATTTGGATCGATGTATATGTAAATTTATATATTACTTGTGTCAATTGCATGTTGTCACCTAAGATCTATATGCAAGTAAAATGAATTGATTTAGCATGAAAGTTGTGTTCGAAATTTAGAGAAGACACCTAAGGTCCATTTTTATAAAGCACGAGAATTTTGTAATTTTGAAACAGTATCAAGAAGTATAAGAACTTCATTACCAAAAATTCTAATTGTACTCAGGTACATTAAGTTCAAAATATAATTATATATATGAAGAGGAAAATATGTTTGTTTAGTTTCCAACAATCACAATTTTAACCCTCTCGATTACATTAGAATCCGACTTGTTCATTGTATGGTGAAAACTAAAGATGATGATATTCATCGAAGAGAATGATTCACTTTACCATTCCGGTGTTCAGTTTTATTTTTTAGTGTCTTCGTATCCTTTTTTTGTTTGTTCTTTTTTTTAGGTAACACATTAGCATTTTAAGTTAATAGATCAACAATGAAACACAACCAAGTGGCGTGCATGAAGAGAAACCTTAAAAGGAATGAGAAAATAAAAGTGTTTGTTTTATAAAAACAAGCTAGTAGATAGATCTCTGCTTTTACATTATACCCGGAGACTACAACCTTGCATCTCCCTAGAGTGAAATCGGATCATCGCCCTTTGTTAGTAGTAGTGGAAGGCCAAAAAACCCGCATGAATAAGGTGAAATCTTTCCGTTTTTTAGCTCCATGGCTCCTCCATGAGGATTTCTCCAGAGTTTTACAGGAGGGATGGAGTTACAGATTTGACTACTCCTCTAAGTTGGCGGTCTTGACAAGGGAATTACAGGAGTGGAATGCAAAAGTTTTGGGAATATTTTTGCCCGGAAACGGAAACTGCTGCACTGTCTAAGTGAACTTGAAATGATAAATGAGGGTAGGCCTACGCCAGCAACTCACCATGAAGAAGAGAAAGTCCAGGCTTCACTACAGGAGGTACTTAAACAAGAGGAAATTCTCTGGTTCCAAAAATCCCGGGCTCAATAGTTTCGCGAAGGATATTGCAATATGCATTTCTTCCATAAACACTTCAAATGGAAATGAGAGTTAAGATAGGAATGAGTTATCGATAGAGCAGTAAATTGATAAGTATGAAGAGTGGAGTTTCGTATGATTTCTCGTGGAAAATGCTAGAACAAAAGGAGTAACAAGAAGTAAAATGATACAGTGAGAGTACATATCAAGTTCATTAGAATAAACCTAACTCATTAGTCTACAATAAGCAAAAAACTAAGAAATTTTTTACTACCATGGGAGAAAATGAAAACAAAACTCAAGATACAAGAAAAAAGGTGATCAAAATCATAAATATTACATTTGATCAACGGCTATGCCCGTAGCTGGTTTTATTTGTATTCGAATCCATAATGTTTGCATCTAACCCAATCCATCTCGAATCTCGAACATAATGACCCGCCACCTATTTTCCAGTTTCAAATTATCAGTTTGACATTATCATGTGCATCCAATTCCATGTCCTTAAAAATAGCTATAAAAAAATTGGTAGAAGCAATAAAAAAGGTAACTCACTTTTTAGTTATTTTTATCTGAATATGTAACAGTAATAATGGCTAAATATCTCATAACTGTTGAAATCTTAATAAAAATCATACTTAGCATCTTAATATGGCAAGGACGTTCTTGAGTTGCTCTAATATGTTTGGTTGCATTGATACGACATCCAATCCCATTAATGTATCTCAATTTTAATGAAATACAACTCGTATTCATTTATTAGTTTTCTAGTTCTACTAGGAAAAAAACTACAGATGTTTTGTTGCATGCCATTTAAGTTTTCTCCTCATACCCATGGAACAAATTAATCGCAATGAAGTTAACCATCACAAGCATTATTAACCAATTAAACTAGAATAACTAATCGTCTTTATTTTGAAAATTAACATGATCCCTATAAATTGATTACCATCATAATGGTGGAGTCACATCTTCCAAACGAGTAACTAAGAGACACAATTATATCCCATCAATAGACTTTCCAGTCTTTTTTGATCCGGCAAATACAAAAGAAAATCTGATAAATGGGCTCTCCTAGTTCATCATCGGTCATTATCACATGTATACTCTTCTCAACCTTAGTTATCCTGAATCTTCCATATCAAATACAAGCTAGAAAGCTATCACCATTACTAACAAACCCTCCAGTAAAAATATTTCATGAATATGACGAGAGGAGCAGCATTCTTGACCGAGCAAAAGAATATGGAAGTACTTTCCATTCCTTGGCTAAAGATGACATCAATGTGGACAGCATAGTTCCTGAAATCCGTACTTGGGAACATGATTTTTATGCCATAGGGAATGCAGCAATGTTGGGGGCATTTGGATCGATGTATATGTAAATTTGTATATTACTTGTGTCAATTGCATGTTGTCACCTAAGATCTATATGCAAGTAAAATGAATTGATTTAGCATGAAAGTTGTGTTCGAAATTTAGAGAAGAGACCTAAGATCCATTTTTGTAAAGCACGAGAATTTTTTAATTTTGAAAAAGTATAAAGAAGTATAAGAACTTCATTGCCGAAAATTCTAATTGTACTCAGGTACATTAAGTTCAAAATATAATTATATATATGAAGAGAATAATATGTTTTTTTAGTTTCCAACAATCACAATTTTAACCCTCCCGATTACATTAGAATCCGACTTGTTCATTGTATGGTGAAAACTAAAGATGATGATATTCATCGAAGAGAATGATTCACTTTACCATCCCGCTATTCAGTTTTATTATTTAGTGTCTTTGTATCCTTTTTTTGTTTGTTCTATTTTTTAGGTAACACATTAGCGTTTTAAGTTAATAGATCAACAATTAAATACAACCAAGTGGCGTGCATGAATGAAAAACTTAAAAGGAATGAGAAAATAAAAGTGTTTGTTTTATCAAAACAAGCTAGTAGATAGCTCTCTACTTTTACAATATACTTTTTCCCAGTTTCTTTTTAAACAAAATTATAATAAATAAAATCACAGTTTGCAATTTTAAGCATGTCGCTTTTCAATACAAAGTTCCTTCCTAACTCAATTTTTATTTTAAAAGCAGAATACTATGGTAGAACAATAAATCACGTGGAACTTTGAAAAGGATTCAAAATAGGATTCAAGGAATAGAAATTGGTTTATAATAAGGTGTAATCTAAGAAGGAGGTTATGTTCAACGGCGTTTGACGAATGGATATAATGATAACCTGATAAAAGTGGTCTTCTATGCCATAGGCTATACGAAGAGGTGGCAATTAGGATCCAAATCCATGAATCTAATCCAATCCATCCACCAAATTATCCACCTAATCCAATCCATTTAAATCCAATCCATTTGATCCAAATTCAATTAGATTGGTGGATTCATGGATCAATCCATGGATCCAAATGACATATTACAAATTGGTACCTATATTTTTTATATTTTAATTTTGGTACCTAAAATTTTTATTTTATACAAAAAATATCATTGGAAAATTACATTTTGGTACCTAAAATTTTCCATTGTGACATTTTAGTACCTAAAATTTTCAAAATTTACATTTTGGTCCAAGCCTTGGATGTCATTTGGTTTCATGGATCAATCCACCAATCCATTTGATCCAATCCATGAATCCACCAATCCATTGGAGCCAATCCATTTGATTTATGGATCCACCAATCAAATCCACGAATCCGATCCAATTGCCACCTCTAGCTATACCTATGTACCCATATTTCATATTTGTTGTATCATTACTCGGGCTCATGCACAGGTTGAGCTTAAGAATCATGCAGAGAGAGATGTATCACCCAAGAAAGAATGGACATAAAAAATTCTCACTTGGCTTCCTAGATGCTTGGACTCTCATACAAGTTCTCCGGTCAATAACGCTAAACAATCGGAGACGGTGATTGACTACTATGATTGCGCCATTCATGTATCAATGTCAATAGATAACGCAATTCCAAAATGAAACTAAAAAGTTGGCACTATAATCACGAAAGTCTTTTAGTTTTTTCCCCCAACATTCACAGGTTACACATTCATGGAAAACAATATGTCTTCATAAATCACACCCATAAACACTTCAAATGGAAATGAGAGTTAAGATAGGAATGAGTTACCGATAGAGCAGTAAATGGATAAGTATAAAGAGTGGAGTTTCGTATGATTTTTCGTGGAAAATGCTAGAACAAAAGGAGTAACAAGAACTAAAATGATACAGTGAGTGTACATATCAAGTTCATTAGAATCAACCTAACTCATTAGTCTACAATATAAATAACTAAGAATTTTTTTACTACCATGAGAGAAAATGAAAACAAAACTCAAGATACAAGAACAAAGGTAATCAAAAGCATAAATATTACATTTAAACAACGGCTATGCCCGTAGCTGATTTTATTTGTATTCGAATCCATAATGTTTGCATCTAACCCAATCCATCTCGAATCTCGAACATAATGACCCGCCACCTATTTTCCAGTTTCAAATTATCAGTTTGACAGTATCCTGTGCATTCAATTCCATGTCCTTAAAAATAGCTATAACAGATAATGGTAGAAGCAATTAAAAAGGTAACTCACTTTTTAGTTATTTTTCGTGCCATTGTATGATATCTCAATCTGTAACAGTAATAATAGCTAAATATCCCATAACTGTTGAAATCTTAATAAAAATCATACTTAGCATCTTAATATGGCAATGACGTTTTTGGGTTGCTCTAATATGTATAGTTGCATTGATACTACATCCAATCCCATTAATATATCTCAATTTTAATGAAATACAACTCATGTTCATTTATTAGTTTTCTACTTCTACTAGGAAAAAAACTACAGATATTTTGTTGCATGCCATTTAAGTTTTCTGCTCATACCCATGGAACAAATTAATTGCAATGAAGTTAACCATCACAAGCATTATAAACCAAGTAAACTAGAATAACTAATCGTCTTTCTTTTGAAAATTAACATGATCCCTATAAATTGATTACCATCATAATGGTGGAGTCACATCTCCCAAACGAGTAACTAAGAGACACAATTATATCCCATCAATAGACTTTCCAGTCTCTTTTGATCCG